CGGCAGTTACGGACGACCAGTATATAGTTAGCGCCCTAGCAGGCGGACCCTTAGAGTTTCTTCTCTTTGGATCCTCCCCTGCTAGGTCGGTCCCTCCGTGTATTTCCGTAGCTTTTTCCTCCCCTACTAGGCTTTCGTCGGAGTCTCCAGGGTTGCCCTTACAGCAGTCCAGGCCTGTGGATTCTTGGACATTGGGCAAATCTAGTTGTATTGTGTCGAGCTCTGCATGTCCATCATGATATAGATTGCCACTTATATCACTCCTGTAATCATCTTGATTGAATCTTATTCTTTGACATGGCATTTCAGACAAAGAACTCAACAAAGAAAACCTGGCTGCCATTGCAACTCCCGTTGGGTCTGCCATAAGGACTGCCACATAGACTGTCAATCATACTGCCATCCGCAGGCTGCCATTACACCAAGTGACAGGATGTGTACCCAGTTTTATTAGTAAAACTGTGGCTACTGGTAAAGGCCTGTACTCATAAAACCTGGGGGAGCTTATGCCAGCCATCACAGAGTAGCGTAACAAGGAAATGTGAGATTTAATCCACGGCTTACTTAGGCCTAAGAGCTTAGGCAGCAGTGAATTATGATAGTATTAGCAGCATAGAAGGGATTTAGCACTAGGGACTTAAGAACTTAGAGATGTTGCAAAATTATTGGAGTATCTATTACAGCATAGGGCATTTGAAGTCATCCCTTCATATTAGAATGTACAGCTTACGGGGCAGTTTATTGTAATATGAAAGGATAAGTGGAATTGGTAAGTGGTCGAGATATACAACTTTGATTTTGTGACAATCTGTGCTATTCTCTCTCACAATTGTACTGTCAAACACTGATTTTTTTTTTTTTGGAATATACTCTATATAATACTATATAATCATATGATACAGCGCTGAATTTGAGTCGGGCTGTGCAAGGCTTCTCCTAAGAATGTGCGCCCAGAACAAAACAGATGAATCATCAGGCCCACAAGCGGAGCAAGCGGGGTAGATTTGAACCAAAAGGGCCTGTTAACTTGGTCCTGGATTGTTGTTGGTGGTCAAAGGTTCAAATCGGGTTGTTTTGGGTCCGATGAGTTGGCAATACCTCCTTGCACAGAGAGAAGCGGTACTTTTACGATCTAGGTGATAGAGTACATGATACACTATCACACTATATATATATGGGCCCGCAAAGGGGTGATCAGACACCCTAGCCTCTCCTGCTCCTCCTTGCCCCCATTCCTGGCTGCAGAGGGGATAATCTTACATCCCTTACGGGCCAGACGCTACTGCTAACCTCCTAGCACTCCTCCCTAATCCCCTAGTGTCGAGTTGAGCTTGGCAACAGCTCGACATGTCATTCTCGGTCACATGCTTCCCACGTGTGCGTTCCTCCTACTGGGGTGCCTGTTCCCCGTTGTCACATGCTATGTGTTGCAGGCTCACAATGGCCCAACACCAGCACCAGAGCGGACAGGCTGGGTCTTATTCATGACAGGCCTTTCTCAGACCATCTGAGCGCATCTGCAGCGCGTCTGACTGCCGCCCCCTCAGACGCTCCGACCGATTCCGACCATTGCCCATGGCCCCTTTTGCCTGCACAATCACCAATCTGTCAAACCCCTCCCAGCAATCACCTTGGGACAGAGCCTGCAACACTGCTCAGACCTTCTGCACTCTACGTCAGCAGTTATGAACGACCAGTATATAGTTGGCATGTCACAAACAGAGCTTGATCAAGTGATGGGTCAACTGAATGAGTGATAAAGTGATAGCTCCGTAGAACAAAGTAAAGGGAGAATTTATAGGATGGTAGGAGTTTATTACTAGTGTGACAGACTTCTCAACAGGTAGGTATGTTTGGTGTAATCAATGAGAACAAAAGGACTAGGTACAGGAGATCTAGCAGGCTACCTATATACTGTCTGCACCTGTGACATCATGTACTAGTACAACAGGTGCCAGGCTAAACTAGAGTGTAAGTAGCTGTTTCAGTATGATACTTGTCACACTATTGTTAGAGTAAGGCTATGCAACAAGACATAGATATTTGACAGGAACAGTAACAAGCAGGAAATGTCATCAGGGTGATGATCAGATCAAAAAGAATAGGTATGTGGTAGGAATCAACAGGGTGTTATATGGCACCCTAGCAGGCAGATCCTTAGAGTTTCTTGTTTTGGGATGCTCCCCTGCTAGGTCAGTCCCTCCATGTATTTCCTGTAGCTTTATTCACTCTTTGGATCCTCCCCTGCTAGGACTCTTGTTGGAGCCTCTGTTGGACTTTTAATCCAGTGCCATGCAAGCCACCCAGGCCATTCTCAGACATGGCATTTATTCCCATTTTGACATTCCCCATCTGTTTATTTCACTTTGTACTTGATCTGTACATGCCCTTCAATAGATAGTTTAGATACTGTTATAGTTTATATGTACTTAAGTAGCTACCTGTTCAATGTCAAACTGTCCTCTTTTCCCTTCCTATTTCCTCCCTGTTCAACAGCCTCTGGGGTTGCCCTTGCACATGTATTGTATTTCACCTTTATTCACCCCCTACATACTGGACTTGATAAAAAATTGCCTTGGACTTTGGAACTATTCACTCCTCTTTCAATCTATTATTCATCGGCCAGGCTGAAAACACTGGCTATTGCTACTGATAATTTAAAATGGGTTTGGGGCTAAACTAGTGGCTCTTTCAGCTTCTCTAGATTTTTTTCTCTTGGATTTTGCATGAATTCTATATGCTATATTAAAAGAATTTGTCTCCCAGTTACCAAAGGTCTCAAAGTCTACCACAAAACCTAATAGTCTCAGGCTCCATAATATAATAATAGATGACCAGTATATTTAGACTACAGAACTTCTGCCAACAGAGGAAGTTTCCTCTACTATATTAGAATTGCTATAGCCTAGCCCAATACGGATGATAGCAATAGTTGGTACAATAGACTATAATTGTACGATAAGTGAATGTCCATAGCATCTGATGAGACAACAGACCACACCATGTGATGCAATCCCCTGGAAAACAAAGAAAACCATATTGTTACCCTTATTGATTGAGCCAGAGGTGATAAGAAATATTGCAATAATGATGTAGAAGGCCCCTGACTCTAGACTTGGAATTGATAGGATATAAATATTAGTTACCACTTATTACATTAATCCAAGAACTTACATAACTATGAGGACACTCTGATAATAGCTCTGTAGAGTCTGAATACCTAGAATATGAGCCCTTTGTCTCATGATAAATACATGACTACCTAAAATTGAAGATTTAGCAATATTATGAGTAGTTATTTCAAGATATACCACAGAGTGCAGTGAGCACAATATTTGTTCCTAAGCCAAAAGCAAATGGCACCCGGTTATCTAAAGAGACAACCAAATTGCCTATTGCTGAACTGTTGAGTGAAGCAATAATTCCAGTAACTTATTGAGGTTCCTATCAGAAGCAATGCTGAGAGGCTCAAAACTACCTGTTGTTGCCAAGAGTAATGATATTGGAACAATAATAAACTTTATCTGTTGGCCAAATAGATGATAGCATCTATAAATCTGCAAATGTCTGAACACCATGTATATGTCTACCTGTGTTTGTGCTTACAAATATTCCATCTGCAGTTGTGCTATAAGTATTTTCAGCAGCCAGAAGATTTATACAAGTTTTCACATACACATTGATTGTGAAAAGAAGCGCCAGAGTGATATTCACATAGCTGTCCTTCACTGAAGATAACAAGTACTCTGCTTGACCAGTAGTAGTACAGGAAAGTAGAGGGATTGTCTCCAGAGTTTGTTGTAATGATTGAAGAGATAGCTGGAAATCCATCAAGTCCAGGCATAGTTGTATTGTCCCCAATATTATCATAAAATATGAGTAGATGATAAAGATTTGATTGCCAGAAGCCTTGCGATGATGTAAGGTGAATAGTGCAAATACCAGAGAAGCTGTTGATAATGCTGAACACATTCAAGTTAATCAGTATCTTACTTGGCCATCAGGTTGCCTACCATAAAAGGCTACCTCACCCTCAAGACATGTGAGATTTTTCATTTTAGAGCTTAACTAAGTTGGCTCACCATTTTCTGAGCAATAAGAAAAGAGAGCCATTCCCAGCAGGAGTTAGAGGGAGAAGTCATTGCAATGACACGGGTTTGTGGAGATGAATGTTCTTCAAGGGATGAGCATTACTCTCAAACCATCCAAAAGCTTTATATCAGGCAGTTGGCGATTTTGAGTCTCACCAGAAGCCATCATCAGGTGTCTGTAATCTGCAATATCATATCAATGAGATTCGTTTAATTTTAGCCTGCTATTCAGCATTTGGGAACCATGAAGCTTTCATCAGGTCCCAGGCCAGTGGCCAAATATAAGTGACATATAGTATAGTTGCACTATTGAAATCTGGCCCTGATATTTGATCATCAAGTTGGATTTCTGCATGGGATCTATCTCCCAGTAGGAGTTGCAAACTGTCTAAGTATTATATGACTACTAACAATATCCATGATCTATCATTATTATTTGAAGCTGTATTTGCTCAGGCTACGCGTAAGAACTTGAAGATTGATACAAACTAAACAGTCATGATCACAGTTATCATCGGACTTAGGATCCACCACAACTCTAGTAGATGCACTTCCTCGACAGCATGCCAGTGTGAGCACCATGATATTATGCGTGTTCGTCATGATATAAGAAGGACAGCAATCCGAGTGACATTCCACCTTGCAAAAAGATTGTTATGGAATTGGCATGGAGTTTAGGCAGTGCGTGGTTTGGGCATCTCTGTGATCGGGTCGCCGACAGAATTGAATTCACGATTGAGAAGCTCATCTTGCACTCATCAGATCATCAGAAAGAGAGAGGGATAATCATGAATGCAGAAGGCTAACTAAGGCTACAATTTCAAATCCACCCCAACTCGGGGGGGCGATTAAGTATTACAAGGCTGAGGGCTACAACTATACTGACAATAGGAAAAGTCCACATATTTTTCAGGCACGCAGCTCGCGCAGGCCACGGACGACATCCTCCATCGTGCGAATGTGCCCGTTGACGGAGCCAGACCACTCCCCGCTCCAGCATGCCTCCTTGCGGTACATGCTCCGGTCACGCTTCCCCGCAGTCATGGACCCAGAAGACTGGGTTGGCGCGAAGAGGACCGGGACGGGCGGAATGTCGAGGTCGGCGGCGGCAACGAGCGTATCGTAGGAAAATGGCTCGTCGGAGGAAGAAGAGGGTGCGAGGGATGACGAGGAGACAGCGTGTTTGAGTGAGGGACGGGGGCTGTGGCGCGGTTTGCGCGGGAGAGTTTGGGTTTGGCTGGGAGTAGAGAACTCTGGGACACTGACGGTGCTGGACCGTTTCCTCCCCTTCCCTTTGCTCCCTTTGTGCATGACGAGCTCGGGCGGGACATTCTCGCCCAACATCGACGATGCCTTGGCAAGATTATGCTCCTTCAACGCTTCAGGGTCGATTGTCGTCGGCGTAATCGGCGTTGCACTGGCAGGTGAATATGCGTTGGGCGGGAAGGTCGCGGAGAGCGGCCCTGGGGAGCGCAATGTCGGTGTGCGGAGTGAGAAGAAAGTCCGCGATGATGAAGAGCCCGGGGAGAGGGACACCGACGCTGAGCGGCCGTGGCGCGGGCCATTGTGTAACGGGTCGGGGAGGGCAAGTGTGCTCTGTGTCTCGGTAAGCAGGTCGCCGAGCTTCTTCATCGAGCGGATAAAACGGAGGCGTTGTGAGGGCGGGAGGGGGATCGTCAAGGTGGTGGTGGTGGACATGTCGTGGTAAAGAGAGAGGGTACTAAGCACAGGGGAGAAGGGTCAGGTCGTAAGGGAAGCGCGAGCAGTAGAGAGTCCATGGCGACGAGCGACTAAATACCCCGCGCTGGGAGTCAGCGGCTCGACTGAGAACAAGGCACAATAAGCAAAAAGATGGTACTTGTTCTCGATTTGGATGAAGGTGTGTGACAATCTGGTCACTTCGTTCGCTCAACCCAACTTCATTTCGAGACCGAAACATTGAACAGACACCGAAGCAGTGGCTAAGCCTGCCAAGTACATCTAGGAGTCTAGGACTCGCAACCGGACAAACGCTCCAGATTCACTGAACTCATAAAAACCGTTCTCAAAGAACTCGAGGGATCATTCGCCTTCTGAATCGTCTTCAAATCAACACACAATACCCCAACGAAACTGTCGCTGCTCGGCGTAGCTCACCACTTCTCATTCGCGTCAAGACCGATAAGAAACCCAAGCGAGTCAACCTTAAGTATCTTCGTTCTCCTAGCCACTGGCAGAAAATCCAGAAGATCGACCTTGTCGACGTTACATGGTGCATAGTAAATATTACCTTGAAAACTTGTCACCAACATTCCCATAGTCCCAACTTCCTCGGCGTCTCTTGAACTTCTTGTGCTGCCAACGGACTCTCAAGTTATATATGGCGGTGAAGAATGGCTGTGACGTTGATTTCCTGCAAAACTTGACCGAGCGTGACTGTAGAGTGAAGGAAGAGGATGGAATAGACCTCGGCTTGAGTGCTGTCAACAGGTACACAATGGAAAAATGTCGTATGTTGTTATCCTCGGCTTGCGTGAGCTGCATGCTATCCTCAATTCCAAGACGAAGGGCGATGAATCCATGATATTCTCCACAAGTATCGACGGTCAACGCAAGATAGCAGTGTCCAAGTCAAGCATCCAACACTGCCGTCAAATTCCACCCCTTCCCATCCTTGAAGAGCAGATGCGGCTTCGTCTCCGCGATCTGCAGCACGGCCTCTGCGAAATATGACTGTAACAGCGAAATCAGCGAGTGTTTTCCTGGAAACGCCGAAAAGGACAAACATTGGCCCACGCACTATATCGTGTTAACGATATCAAGCGGAAGAAACAACGGAAGGGCTGGACGTACAACCATGAGCGGGTATAATCCGTCCCGTCGTGTGTGTTGACGCTTTCATGGATGAGCCCGAGACCGGTCGTGGAGTTCTTCAGCCACGCAAAGGCGGTAAGAACATCCTGCAAAGATTAAGTATCAAGTCCGGCTTCTAATAATGAAGGTGTACCTCGTCTTTCGTTGCGCTTACAACCTCGCTCACAAGCCCCATCGGCCAGACGTGCTTCTCGTCCACATGTGGCGATGTTACACCACGTATGGCAGGTCCAAAGCCTGCGCGGATGATGACTGTTGCTACTAATACTAATATTCATGTCAAACCGTAGTACGGGTTGCCCGTTCTCGACAGCACCATCTTGCGTGTGTTCCGGTATATCTTGTTCGTGGCGTTTACGAAGCCGAGGTACGGAATTGAGACCAAGGACGGAACATTAGGGTCTACCCAACAGACGTATTAGGTTTCGTTAGCGAGCACAGACGGACATACCGTCCTGAATCGCGACTCCGCCAAACCCGTCGACCTCATACGCAAATACTTCGCCCCAGTGCTTGGTCGTGACCGTCCCATACTCGTATATTCCTTTCTCTACTTTGTTCGCGCGCTTCAGAGCCAGGGTATCAATATGTGGCGCAGATAAAGCCGACATGATTGTGTGTAGCTCAGGATCAGCACGGGCAACGGCCTCAAAATTCGTCAGCTTCGTTTGAAACAAAAGTAAGAGTGAGCACAAGGTGACCTTGAGCTGGGAGTATATACTCGCTAGCCCGCGAAGCTCGACAACCGCCATGGCTTGGTGGGGTATGTTGTAAGGAAAGTCCACGACATCGTCTGCAATAGCATGAACAAGGTTGGTTTAGGCAGCAGCCTGCATACCCGACGGCCGATACGTCGTCCCAATCTGCGTATGATGAGCTAGCACTATAAAGCTTACGAAGACTTTTATACCATGCCGGTGAGCGCCTTCGGCGGCCCTCGGCCGTTGTTCTTCATATATTGCTGGTTGGGCCCACTCTGAAAGGAATGTCAATAGACGAAGCGCCCAGTTTGTGAATGGCACTACGATGTTGTAGAAAGAGACGACGTTGCCTTCGTCGTCATAAGTGGGAACCGCCTGGTCTTCAATGAGCTGGAGGATGCCTTCAACAGTTGTGAACCCTGTGGCCCGAGGAGTCAAAAGGGCAGATTAATGAAGAGAAAACGCACAACTGCCGTTGTTAAACGTGAAGATTGAAGTGTCATTGGAGTATTCGTAGTATAGCCGGCTCAGCTGGAGGAAACTGAGGACGGAGTCGAGCTCATACTATGAGAGAGAATAACTGTCAGCCTGGGCCTTTCTCCGAAACGAAAACATACCCCACACGTCCAAACGATGGTCAAGTTATCCGGCGGCGATACAGACGCGCCCGTGTCGCCGCTCCCGCCTTGCGGGGGCAGTCCCTTCTCCCATCATTTTCATGTGCTAGTTCTCAATGAAAGACGCACGCTTTCGGGTGGAGGTTGGAACGCGTTGCAGTATGGGTATTGCGCGATATACCGCGCCTGCAGGTTTATCACGCCCTTCGTCAGCTGGCGCAGCGGCTCGTCGTGAGCCAGGAGCGGGAGGTAGACCTTCATCTGGTTGCTCGAGTCGCGCAGCCACTCGGCGGGTATGTCGCCTGTCACAACGAAGGTGAGGTTGGGCCCCGCCCACCGGATGGTCGTGTCTAGCGTGTTTGGGTACGTGTTTTCGAAGAGGCTGCAGTCATTTTCGGTCAGCTTTGAGCAATGTAGCGCGAGGTAGCACGCACCGAGCAAGGTCTGGGTCCGTCATGCGGCTCGTCAAGTTGGTCAGGACTTTTTCCACCGCGCTGCTATTGAAAGTCCGGCATCCGGGGGGCGGGCGCATATAGGGCAGACCAAGCGGGCCTGTACCGCCTTTGAGCGCGCAATCTTCCGTCGAGTCAGAACCAACCGGTCGAGGGTGTGCCTTGGGCACGCATCGAATAGCTCGAGTACTCCTGGCAGCCGCCATTCCCGTTGGGAGGAGGGAGGTGGGGCTGTTTCGCATCGGCAGCGCCCGCGAGCAGCAGGAGGAGGATGGGGGCAACGTTGCGGGCTCTGTCGCGTCGCATGGCGGGGCTTGGCAACGCCGATGAAGAAGCCTGGCGAATCGCGATCGCGGAGATGCATGGCAATCAGCTGCGCTCGGATCCGGGGTGCCAATCGTGGCGGAAGTTGGAAACCAGTTTTGAGAGCTAAATATAATTTGGATGAAAGGGTTCATCTGACGAGGTAAAAAGTGGGACACTTCAGCGTGGCTGTACCAGGAGAGAGGGAGACCCTCAGAGGGTGGATGAGCCAACGGCATTGAACAGGCGAAACCGTAAGTACTACGTAGAGCCATAAGTTGTAGGGCCAACAGGGGTGCGAAATGGTGGTGCAGCGTACTTGCCGACCCAATGTGTCTAGAAGAAAGTCCATGGCTCCAGCAAGGCAGCCTCTGGGCTCCTGGATGATAGATGTGGCAAAGATGTGAAAACCGGTTACTTATCGTAATCTTGATCAATCATCTTGCTGACTCATTCCACAAACCATGAATCGGACGGCTTGGACGCGCACAACACCAGCATCGTCCTTTCCCTCCGACCGGATAAAGCCCAATGCGACACAACAGCCATCCGCAGGGGGGAAGAAGGGGAAGGGGAAAGGCACAGCTACTCCGCCGGCAGAACCGCCCAAAAGCCGACCAGTGCGGCAACTGGAGGCGCTCATCGGTGAGCTGAAGGCAGCGAGTAAGACCCAGCCAAAGCCGGACCCGAAGGGCGGATGCTTCTGTCAAGGTGCGTGGTTGTTTTCCTCGGTAATTATGTCGACTTATGGGTGATTGCAGCTCGTGCCCATGGACTATCTCCTCATACCGCGCTGTGTCGGACATGCGGGCTCGTATTGTGCACTGTAAACGCCCCCCAACACGCCTGCCCGTCATGTGGATCATCTCTTCTCACCGAAACCCAACGAACGACACTTATAACGCGCCTTGAGGCCGAGTTGGCCGACACGCTGGCCAAAGAGGAGAGAACACGGCTGCAAGCAGCAGAAGAGGCCAGACGCGCTGTTGGCGCCTTCCCTACTCTTTCCGGCGCACCGCCAGCACCAATACCCTCGCAGCCTCCGCCCCAAACCCGCACCGTCCTCTCGCTCAACCCCAAAACCAAGCGCGTCACTGTGTCTGCATTTACCAAGGTCCCCGTTGGAAGTACTGCCTCTACCCCCGGCTCCTCCGCGCCGTCTTCTCGGCCCGTGTCGCCCGAGCTCGACCCGCCGCGGGTGACTGCGCCACCACCGACCGTGGCGTTCGTGGCGGGGGCAAGAATCGACCCCAGTCGGCCATATGCGGATTTGAGCGGGAACGGCGCTGTCTATATCCCTCCGCCGGACTTTGGCGATGAAGGTGGGAAGCGCGAGGGGCCGAAAAAGAAGCAGAGGGGCAAAACGAAAGCGGGGGCTGGTGAAGGGACATTGACTGCTTCGACCAGCTAACGCGAGTGTCGAAAGTGATTCCGCGAGTATGTAGGCACAAGCTGGATGTACCCTTGGATGTGCTTACTTCGGATAGAACTGTGCAACTTGGTGCTCATCCAGGGAGATCGCATGGGACGCTACGTTTGGCGCAGAACTTGATACACATATAATTGCTTGGAAGCGAGTCTGCGAGAAAACAGAAGCAAGACAGGCTTGTTTGCCTGTTCACAACAGACCTCTAAGGACATGTACATAGCTCGAGAAAGTGAAGGATACTTTTCGCTGCAATTCACGGTCCGCTGACCCGTCTGCTGACGCATCACGATTACACCCTTTCCGAAATTTCCGCCTCTTCCACCGACTTCCATTACTAGAGACCGAAACGCTCCGTACTAGCGAAATGACGGAGATGACCGAGGAAATGAGCCAATCGCCGACCCCGATGCAGTGCGAAACACGGAATGGTCTTAAGGTCGGCGCCAGCGGTGTAGACTGACCGGACAGAGGAAAACCACGTATTCTTCTGTGCCTCGTTGCAGGTCTCTCAGGACGATATCGATATTGGCTCCACACGTCATGACCCTGGAAAAACTCCCCATTTGGCGAATGGAGTGCTAGAAGCTGGTAGAAGGCCGTGGCCTGTGGCGAGCCTGTGGTCCGGTGCTGCGATTCCATAGCTCGGAGTTGGCTCGGAGCGTCAGCTGGGTCAGGGAAGACGGTCTACCGGTGCCGGCCTGAGACATCCATCGATCCTGTCTCGCCTCCTTCTCGCCGCCCCACTTCCGCCGGCTACATCCTTCTTCCTCCCACCGTCTCGCTGCTATATAAGCTCTTGTACCAGCTCATAGCTTGCAGCAGTACTCTTCGCGCCACCAAGAGCCCTCTCACGCCTAACGAGCTAACGTTTCACGACTCATGAAGTTCTCTGCCGCTTTCCTCGCTTCCGCCGCCGCGCTCCTCGCCAGCACCCTCCCAATGGCGACTGCGACACCCGTTGCAGCCCGCGACGTCTTCGTTCCGCCCATCACCTACCCCCACGCTGGGACCGTGTGGTACATTGGCCAGACACACAACGTTACTTGGTGAGCGAGCTAGCCAAGAGCTAGCCAACTGGAATTGTCATGGTCTCACCACTGTCTCACTCAGGGACACCTCCAAGGCCCCGGTCAACATCACCAACGGCAAGGGCATCATCATGCTCCGCAAAGGCGACCTTACCACCCCCGGTGCGTAATCTTCTCAGTCCGTAGCCCCCGCCGCTCACAAGCTAGCCAGTCATCCTCCAGAACAACTTCGACATCCGCAAGGGCCGCATTGAGGTGCGCGTACCCTGGGTTGTCGACGGCAGCGATTACAAGCTTGTTTGTGCGTCTTCCCCTCGACTCCCCTTGATATATATATGTGCTCATTGTTTACTGTAGTGTTCGGCGACTCCGGTAACTTCAGCCCCAACTTCACCATCAAGGGTTCTGGCGTTGCTTGGTAAATCTCACCATTTCGTTCGGACCCCTGCTCGCACCCCACCTTTTACGAATCGCACTACCACGGACACGCTTACTGTATACTTGATGAGACTTTTTGGACCCCTTGCATTTGTACATTCTTCACGCATTCAGCCATCGGATGGACCCCTGCTGTATATTATCCATAGTTACTCTTACTCTCCTTCGTAATAATCTTCACGTTAACGTTGTTGGGCAAAAGCAACACATAGTAGCAAATGAGTGCAAAAAACTTTTTCCACTCAGGAGCAGGTAAATAGACTCGCTATTAATGAAAAATGCATGCCCTCAATCCACTAAGTACTGTTACTCTGGACTATTTCGATGCTAATTTCAAGTTCAAGTTAGAAGTTGGCTAAGTTGAGCCTACTAGTAGTTCAATATTAATGCACTGTTCGGTGTTAGGATTCTAGGAATTGAGCATGCCAATTGCAATTGTCTTGTCCGTGAAGGCGATGGTGTAAAGAAAAGGACATTAATTATATGTTTATGTCTCCAAGGCTCTGCACTGGCAGAGGCAGCAAAGCCAATGCAGAGAGCATTGACCACTTCAAACAAAAGAACAGGACAGGGGCTCAAGCTGGCAAAGTTATGGACCAGGCAAACCTTTCTGTAAATAGCGACAGTGGTAAGTACTAGTAAGTATATATTAAAATGTTCCAGCCTGCTCAAGGTCACATTTGGATTATGTTTGATTACTCTACCATTGCGTCGTCGGACTGTAATTCAAGCTCAAGCTCATGTCGTGCCCACTCTCTCTCCTCCTGCCGCGCCGCGACAAACGGCTCCCAGAGTTCCAGCACTGACTCCCAGTGATCGCTCAGCGGCAGTGCACCGTACTCGTCTGACATGATCTGTGCCCCGGGAAAGACACCGGACAGGAATCGCGCGACACCGATGGAGTCATCGAGGACCGAGTTTCGGACGTGGAGCTCGGCCAGCGCACTGAAGGGCCCGCGTAGCTTGCCCCGGGTAGGCTGTCGCGGCGTTGGGATGATGCTCGCATCGAACGAGAGCCCGAGCCGGAACAGTTTTGGGCAGTGCTCACCCAGCGTGCGGAGGCCCGCAAGGGTGACGTGCGTAACGGTGAGCGGTGTTGGCCGCTGGCCGTCGTCGTCGAGCTCGTCGCTGTCGGGGATGGGGTCCGCGAGGACAAGCTCTTCGAGCTGGGGAAATGCATGCGCAATGTCGGTCATCCCCGCGTCGTTGAGGTCAAAGCCAGCGGGAGAGCTTATTGCGAGCTTTTTCAACCCGCGGAGGACCCTGAGCTCCCGCAGAGCAGCAACGTTGATCCGTTTTTGCGGGATCTCGGCGTCGTCTATTTCCCTCCCATCTAGGAGTTTTGTCCGCTGACAGAATGTCGTCAGGGTGGCGGGCGAGCAGCGGCTAGCGATTAATAGGTACAGTGATCCAATTGCGGCCGTGGACGCCAGACAGTTGAGCCCAATGTCAAGTTTCTCCAGCTCCACGGAAGAGATGGCTTCAAAGAACGCCGACACAGCTTTAATCGGCGCTGAGGTGAACGTTAGTGACCGTAGCGTCGAGAACGCATCAGATCGCCAAGGGGCACGGGCCTCGATTTCCTGGGGAGTAGGACCCACGAGCTGCCCGATGGCCAGCGCCATGAGACGCCGCAGACCAGAGAGATGTATAAGATCTTGCCAGGCGGCGACAGGAATATTCAAGACGACAATAGATGTCAGATTTTGAATGAAGAGGGACATCGGGGGCCCGTATGTGGCCTCTTTGACGAGACCCAAGTTAATGGTCACAATTTCGATATGCGGGAGCCGTCCAGGCAGTCGTGGTAGCAGGGACACCAACAGCGGGGACGCCATGTTCAGCATCCGTAGCGTGGGCGCGAGGAAGAGGGTGATGTAGAAGCACGTTGAAGCATTCGAATGGCTCCATACCAGCGAATCGAGACGGGGGAAAAGGAGGCCAGAATGCGCGTCGGGGAGGGAGGTGCTGAGTATTCCCAGCACTTCTGCAAAGTTTCGTCTGTGGTCCTCGAACGCGCGGTACGAGCGAACGCGGTGGGCATAGAACAGCGGCCGTTCCCAGTCAGTTGGCACCAGCGGGCGCAGAATTTGCTATTACAATGAATATCCAAAAGATTCTGAAAGAGAAGTTGCTGTCGTACCACGTCCCATTCACTCGCTGTCTGGCTATACTCCACCCGCATCGCGTCGGCGGGGAAGGTGCGGAGGAATCCCGTGAGGTTGATTTGGGTGTGCCACATTTCATCCAAAACCGGCTCGAGAAAGGCTCTGCATGCGAGGCCGAGAGAACGCAGATTGGACGCGTGCTTTGCCCCAGCGGCGAACTGTGCAATGATTAGGCGCACAATCTCCGGAATCTCGAGCGACTGGTGCATGATGGTCGAGGTCAAAAAAATATGCCCGCGTGACCACGCGCATACGTCATGTCATTGATTTGGTCTGAAACAAGTCAGATATGGCAGCATTCCGGACCATAGATAAGATGCTACCGATTCGGCAATCCACATTAGTCAGGACGTGGCATCTGCCACATGATATATGCTTATTGAGCAGACTGGAGAGACGCTGCGAGTCGAAACTGATAGATGCTGGCTGCCAGGAACTCGCTGTGTGCGTGCTTTCACGTTTCTAAATCAAGTTAACGCCGCTGCGAGCGTCTACGCCTAATTGGCGCAAAAGTTCCCTCGGCAGCGTCGGGTCATGCGCCGTCCCGAACATCGCCTGACGCGCGCTTTGATATATCAGCGCGCCATCGCCTGAACAGTTGGCAGTGTGATTCCAGTCTGACTGGCTTCGGATCTCTGATGAACATAACATGAGAATGCACCTACACTCAGTCATGCAGCGCAAACTTGTGCCAGTGTCTGGCTTCTGGACGATTAGTTAGTCTCTGTAGGTGGCTCCCTGAGCTAGCCGCACCAGGCATGGCGCGGGCTTTGACGAGGCAACGATGAAATTCGAAACTCAGCGGCAGAAATCATCACGCGAAACTTGAATATACAAGCTCATGGTTGACGAATCTTGCTTCCAAGTCGCAAACTAACAATGGCATATCAAAAATGAATCAGTTGCGATTTGCGTGTTGGTGCGCTGCTCGGAACACGGCACCTTCGTTTAACCGCACCAGTTGAACTGAGCAATGGCAGCGTCAATAAGGAAACCTTCCGCTTGGGCATATTCGGCGGGCTGTGGGCAGTTGTCAACACGGGCTCGGCAGCACCAGTTTGCATTTAAATCTGTTTATTCTGGTTACCATCTGCGGGGCTGTGTCAGCGCCAGCGCTAGTCTTTAAATACCACAAGGGTCCGTAGAGGGCCGACGATGCGCCGAACTTGAGATGTGGGCGTGTGGGTGAGCAGCCCGGAACATGCGGGATCCTAATTGCGCTAACCCCGTCATTGGTGCTTATCGCGGGACCAAACTACCCTGTATCACCTGAAATGTCCGTTTCTTTGGCACATTGAAAAACGGGAGGATCGACCTATCGAAGAAATCTTGCATCAGCAAGTTGTCTGCCCAGTCTGATGTGGTCTAACAAGTAGGTTAGACGAGAGATAGAGAAAGTAGTCCAGACCCGACACGTACTTATCGAACTTGAAAGGCGTCGCTTACAACAGGGATGCTGTGATAAGTTTGGGATCTAGCCGGCCACGGCAGATCCTGCCATATACACGACCAGGGATTAGCACCATACTATAGGGGAGGGAACTCACGATAGAGAGGACCTCTCGCAAGCACTGATTTCGCACCAATGGTTGCGTTTCAAGCAGGCATCAACAGGCTTTTCCTGACAATGGGGCCAAGGCTTGACCGGGCCATTGCTGGTCAGCAACTGGTTGGCAAAGCCAACAGGGGCAGAAACGGCCCGAGTCAGCCGCAGACATTCGCACACGGATACAAACCGTTACAATCGGGATCAACGTGGCGCAGCTGTCAGCCAAAAAACTCGTGCATGGATGCACTTACTGGTCAATATTGTGGTCGCTGCGAAACTACATTGCAGATGGACCAAATCGGTGCGCGCTTGCTGGCACATAGAGTCCGACTCGGAAGTCACTTAAGGAGATGGAATGAAGCATTGATGGGGCGGGCATCGTTTCCCTGTCGGGACATGTCATATTTACCGGTGAACACCGTGATGTAGTGGGATGCACCAGCCGGAAACAGAACTAAGAGGTATGGCGGTCACGGTTAGACACATATCAAAAGTCCTTCTCCGTTTGCGGCCGCTTCGGAGGTCGAAACTTGTGAGGATTTCACAGCCTCACACCCGCCGTAGATTTTAGCGGGGGCCGGTTGCTTGCGGAATGGGTTGCGGAACAAAGAGTGGTAGTACTCTGCCAGAAGCTGTGATATATAAGACAAAGCAGAAAGTCAAACAAGCTTTCGTACCTCCATAGCTCAATCATGTCTGCCGGAGACATCATCGTCATTCCCGACACTCTTCGCTCCTGGCCATGGCCGCGCGACATAAACCCCTCGTACGATGTGTGCAAGAAGGAGTCGGCAGCATGGTGTGAAGCGTTCAAGGCATTTGGTCCAAAGGCGCAGGATAGCTTCAATCGGTGTGATTTCAGTGCGTCTCTCGCTTCAACCGGTATTCAACCTGCTCACCGAAGTAGACTTGTTAGCATCGCTAGCTTTTCCTTTGTTAAATCGCGGTACGATACTTCAGAGAGGAGGATGTCTGTCTCATCAATCCAGCAGAGGGCTGCCGAATTGGCTGCGACCTCATGAACCTTTTCTTTGTGATTGATGAGCACACCGACGTCGCAGCGACAGCTGTGGTCAGGCAGCAAGCTGACATGATCATGGACGCCATTCGTCATCCAAACCGACCTCGTCCTGTTGGAGAATGGATTGGGGGCGAGATTGCCAGATGGTGCGAAGCATCCATTTGCCTCTTGACGCCTGTAATAATAATCCACCACAGCTTCTGGTCCAACGCTACTCGGACGGCTACACCAACGGCACAACGGCGCTTTGTCGAGGCTTTTCAGCAGTATATGGATGGAGTAGTCCAGCAGGCGGATGACCGAAATTCGAGCAGAATTCGAGATGTCGACAGTTATTTCAAAGTACGAAGAGAAACCATCGGGGCGAAACCTTCTTTCGCCGTGAACGAAATCCACCTGAATATCCCTGATGAAGTCATGGCAGACCCAATAGTTGTGAAACTCACCGATCTTTCTATCGATGCACTTATCATCGGGAACGACCTGTGTTCCTACAATGTGGAGTACGAGTCTCCACTCGATTTGTCCGATCAAGTGGCTAATCTCAATTTATTCAGACAAGCGCGCGGAGACGACGGCCACAATCTCGTCACCATTGTGATGCACCAGTACGGGCTCGACGTGCAACAAGCCATGAGCTGGATTGGCGACCTTCATGACCAGATCGTCGATGAATTCCTCCATACATGGCACGACCTGCCGAGATTCGATACCTCGCCTGATTTGGAGCATGATTTTCGTCTTTACGTCGATGGATTAGGGAACTGGGTGCGCGCGAACGATTCCTGGAGTTTCGAGGTGAGTCTACAGACAGAAGCTCAAGATGCTTCTTAACACAAAGCGCGTAGAGCGAGAGATACTTTGGCAAGAAGGGACGCGAGGTGCAGGACACGAGGAAAACGGTCTTGCTCCCGAGAAAGAGAGATTTGGAGCCACTGGGAGTTTAGCGGAATGAGCTGTTAATAGTCTGCCCATAATCCTGTATAATATCTTAGTCATTCGATCCGTAAAGTAATCCAGGAAATTTTCCTCGTTAAAACTTGTAGGAGTGGAGGAGAGGAGTGAAAAAAAGTGTGACACGTGTTTGATGTGATCGATCGATGATGCAAGATCAGGATCGAGGAAATCCGATCAGCCGAAAATCTATTCAAAGAAATTTAAGAATCTTTGCCAATGAACGCGGACTGGGAATTGAATATTGAATCCCGACCTATCTGCTTGCCGCAAACCGTCATTGGATTGGCGGCAATCAAACTTGGACTCAGACGTTGCTCAGACTGTTTCATGCAATGCATGCTCAAGCCCGGCCCGGGCCCCATCGGTTTGGCATGCAATAATCATTACTACGCGTAGTAAACAGGTCCGGCACACATCTCTCAGATGAACAGTGCTCCGTATCTCCCGCGCGGACCTCATACGGAGGTCTCGGCACAGCCAAGTTGACCAAGTGAGCCCGCTTCCACTGTCATCGGACCGTATTAGTAGTGAACGGCTTGCGTCACCGTGACGGTCTATTTCGGTGTCTACCTACAGCAGGCCTACAGAACACCGCGGCCACGCCGTGTGCTAAACTTATCGAAATCCGTAACAGAAAAGAAGTTGCCCGCGTCGTGACGGCAACACGGAGCTATCTCCCATCTGCGCACTTTCACCAGAAAGGCACCAGGAGACGGCTAATGGGTCGTCCCGGGTGAGCGTTACAGTAACTCTCTGGCAGAAGACATTCCGTGATCTTGGTCCCACAACTTCAAGTTGAACGAAAGGCCACCAATGATATTCAATGTCCTTCCTGATGTGTTCAAACCAGGTAGGTGGCGTGGGTGCCACGAGTGGGCGAACCATCGAGAATATCGGAAGTTGATTGGGATGGTCGTGGCGTTCAAGTTGTCCGTAAAGTCAAGTCTTGAGCCGAGATTGGACGTGTGCAATATTTGTAGTTTTGTCAGATAATCTGCTCCCGACACTCCCCGAAGCAAATGCCCGACGATCCCTCGCCAGTATGTGCATTAAAACTTTGTTGGAGCTATACCCGGTTTGAATGCTATTCGATGCAGAAGCGGCCCAGTACTACCATGACCTATGTATGTTTAGCTGCCAGGAATCGTGTTCCAAGGTTTTAGAGATGCAAGCACCAGATATGACCTTCCAGTGACACGAGGTCGCGCAACTTTAGTGGGGATTTTGTTTTGTGTGTCTCGGCCGTGTGCCTACTAGTGGAACTAATCATTCTCGCCCCCCTGAATGGCAGCATCAGTCACTCCAATGCGCACACACACAATACTCACAGCCTCCGATCGACGCCGCAGAGAGAAAGTTGGAATTTGCCATAGTTGGATGGCCTGGTAGTGCAATCAAACCTTGCGGACACACGCGTGAGTGGCATCCTTGAATTTAGATCGGCATCTATCATCGGAAATGATGAACGAAGGCACTTGACCAGTTTGTGCGTGATGGACTGCAGCTGGATGGCATGGAGCCCACTGGTCAAATACACAATGGCACCCACAAACCATCGGTCACGATTCCATGTCGTGTCAGGGAGAAAGAGACGCCGACTTTAAAGGGGAATTCCGGTGTTGGTGCGCTATCTACAAGGATGATGGCAGGCGCTTGTTTTAGCGGAAGACCCCGTTAGAAAGGAGGATTAGGACGTCTCGGTGGCGGAAAGTGAGGTAAAATGCACAACTTGTTTGTCGGTGAAGAAATGAAATTCTCCCGGCGTCGCCCGGTGAATACCTAGAAAAGGTAAGCCGCACGAGGAAAAATGTCTTGGCGGCGGCGCCGACAAGATCGGTCGCGGTCCGCCAAACGCGTCATAGCCGCCAGAACTTAGAAGTCGCCGGATGTTGGATGCCATGAGTCCATGACACGAGAAATAGGCGTTTCTTGCAGAAGGAGAGTAATCTCCGCCTATCATCGGGCACCGGAACCAAAAAGGTACGCTGCCGATTGGGGTTAGTTGCCAGACGACAGTTACTGCGTTCGGCAATGCATCAGATTCCCTTGGGTCCCGGTATGCCGTTGACCGTGGTTTTTGGTCTAGCTTCTCCCGAGCATTGGACGGTTGAAAAGACCTGACGTCGAAACACGGTGTTTCCCCCCACCCCCGCCACTGTTATTCAGCGTGAAGCAAGCATGGTATTCACGCTGCCCATCGAAATGCTTTCCACCATGCAGATTTCATTCCGCGTCGCATTACCGGATGGAAGATTTTCGTTCAACATGGCGGACTATTGTCCGTTGGGAGGAGACATAGGCGACTCGGCCTTAAGGCACAGCGGAATGAAGTTGCGAATCCAGACGATTGTCGATGAAGATGGAGTATCACTGTTACTATCGGCGTCTGGCTTGGAACTTGAATCAGATCACGATATCGAAGCGAGCAATAACTCGCCCTGTTCATCCACCGCTGGTCTAGGCATGACCGGCTTTCCTTATCCTCTATCCCCAATATCTATCGGCGACATTCCTTCAAATTATCCATGCGCCGATGATTCGTATTCAGCAGCACTGGGTTTGTCAGACCAAGATCTTTTTGATTGTAGGTGGGCTTCCGAATGCGTCAAGCACTGCGAACTAAAATCCAAGTTAGCGTTCAATCGTAGCATCGGTTGCCCGCAGGAATTCATTTCTGAAAACCCGTATCGTAAGTGGCAATCAGAACTCACAGCCTGAGGTCCTCATGTCTCGAGTCCAGAAAGAAACTCCTCCACTTGTTCCCCGAAGCCCTCCTCAGTTTCAACGATGCGAGGTAAGCTCTCATAGTCTTCACCGAGAGCTCGCTGACACCTGCCAGGGCTGTTAGACCCCTCAGCAGAAGCCTGTTTCCGAGTCGACGGAAGGAGTCCGATGACGTCGCTGTCTCCAGCAGCATCGACATCTACTCTGTCGTCCAACTCGGCGCCGTCTTCTGTCGCTAGCCCGCTGCCCGCAGGATCGCGGAGGAAACGGCCGACGACGTTACACTGTTCCGAAGACGACTGCACTCGTTCCTTTACAAGCCAATACACACTTATGAAGCACGTCAAAGCGCACGAACGCAAGGAGAAAAAGTACTTCCCCTGTTCGATGGGCTGCGATATGCGCTTTTCGCGGAAGCATGATAGGCTGCGGCATGAGGTTACACAACACGGGCGGGTCTGCGAGTGGGGATGCCCAGTTTGCTTGGGCTTCTTCTCGAGCGAGTCGACCTTGACGAAGCACAAGTGTAAGGCGACAGCGGGATCGTCCAGATGGTCTGGACCATGAAGAACTGGAAGTTTTCTGTTCGAGCATATTTTAGCATATTTTTTTTCGTTGTAATGGCCATGAATGTACTGTATCATTAATTCATCCAAGCGTCATACGCTTGGCCTACAGGGCTTATAGTCGGACACAAACGGAGATGGGCCTGGGTGTCGTGCACATCCGATTGAGAGGATGAACTTCCAGGGCGCGGACGAGCCACAAGAAATTGTGGCATCTCTTCATTGCATTTGCCGTGGTTGGGATCAACTTGAAGTCTCTCCAAGCGAAGAATCGTCCAACTTGAAGTAGACATCGTCGTTCGTCGAGTGCTTTTGACCTTGACAAAGGACAGGTGTAAGATGACGGCGGCATCATCCAGATGGTCTTGACTCGGACAGACTGCAAGGCGTAAGTTTTTTGTTGCAAGCTGTGTTAACGTTGTTTGGCGTCGTCATACGCGTGAAGAAAACAGTCTAGGCTGAAAGCACCTAGGGCCTTTCCTTTCGAGTTGGATGTATAATAGCCTAGCTCCTGTGAGGACCTGAGTGCATTCAGTTTGACGAACTTCGCAAAAAAAGAATTCGTCACTGATGTGGTCAAGATCAAGTCGTTGCGCCATCAGTCACAGTGACATCATCACACCTTCTGAAGTACTTAGAAGGTCTTAGTGGCACTTTGCTTTTACTTGGTACCAGCATATTTTGTATTTCTTGCTGCAATTATCGTGGTCGTAGATACTTACTCCTTTTATCTCCTGGCTGTCGTCCCTTTTCTAAGCACCCACGGGCCCGGGAAGGGGGGGTTATTGACACTGCCACGGAAACATCAGTCGAAGCAGTATTGTTGTATACTCTTCCACCAGCTTGCTGTTCAATTGGCACAATGTCCAAGGCAAGTACAATGCCTTTCGAATCGAACAAGACACTTGCGCGAGCTGTCAATGGGTGTGACATGGGAATCGATTACTGCGAATGGAAACGTCAGAACAATGACATGACGACCACCAAATTTGGTCTTGCGGCAGGCCGCAGAAACGCGTCCTTGTTTCCTCCCCCCATGTTGTCCCGCTGTCGACGAATGCGTCTCGTCCTTGCCCTGTGCGGCTTGCGGCTCGTCTCTGCACATATGGCCGCCTGGCATCCTGGTAGGCTGCCGTTTGAGCAACGTGGCAACACCGACATTGGCTGACCATCCATTGCAGGGATGTACTGTTTGAAGGGGACGACGCCAGGCAAAGACGACAGCGACACGAGCGAAATCGTGTTCCCCTTGTTCAACGTCGGTGCTCTCCGCCCATGGTCCCTGCTCTCCTTCACGCCTTTTAGTTAACAAAAACGGACTGGTGGTTTCACCACTACAACGGCGTGCGTGAAGCGGCTTCTCTCCTCCATCTTTGACCCTCATCTGTGGATTGTAGTGCGACCAATTTCCTCCTGACAAGGGCGTTTTCCTTGAATTGTGCGTGCCACTGTACTCCTTGCTTGGCTGGTGCCAACCCGATCTAGGCCCGCCAATGGCAAATTTACCGTCGAGCTGGCTGTGAATCGCGCATTCACAAGCTTGTCGTACGGCGGCTCTCGCGTTGCGCAGTTTGGCGATGGGCGGAACGACATTGGTGGGGGCGTTGACTGCATTACTAGGATACAAAGTGCGCCGCCTCTTTTGGCACCCCTCCACGATGCTGACACCCTCCTAGTCCACACACAGAACGAATCCATGGCTGCGGGTACCGCCTTCGCCATTTCTTACCAAGTCCGTCGCGTTCCCTGTCATTCGCCCTGTCGGTCTGACACCATTTATCACTCGCAGTCAGAACTATCCGCCGTAACGCCGGAGAATCTTGTCGTTTTCACGACCCTCTTTCAGTGGGCACATTCTACAACCCGGCGCTTTTTGCTGAATTTCCGCACTAGCACCCCCTGGAAACGCGTAGCCACCTACCAAGTGCCAAATCTCCCCGCATGTCCGCCAGGTGGCTGCATCTGTGCTGTGCGTCAACACTTTCCCTCTGCTGCCTCATTGTTGACCCTCTACAGTGGGGATGGGTACCTAATGGATGTGGCGAGCCTAATATGTATATGACCGGTCCGTCTCGTCTCGTCAGTCGAATCCTTGGGCGTGTATATTGACCTGAGCTTAGGCTTCCGCTGTAAAGTCACGGGCAAGACTGGCTCTGCCGCCGTCACAACGCCCGCCATCCCACCGACCTGGTGCGAGGACAAGCCTAATAGGTGTACCACGGGTCCTCGACAAATGATCTTCTGGAACCAGCTGGACGGAAACAATATCGATGTGCAGGGCTTCGATCTGCGTGGCCAGCCACGAAGTCCCGCTTATAACTCGGTGCTGGGCTTCAAGGAGGGTGAGGATACACCTTTCGCTGCGACTACCCAACTGACGAATGGTGGTCTGCTTTAGGTGCCCAAACGGACATCTTCGGGCCGGCAGGGAGCGCAAGCGGGGGATCCAATATACCGATCCCGTGGAGCGCTGTATTATTATCCAGCATTGTTTTGTTTTCAAATCTCATTAGCTTGACCTGCATTTAGAATTGTAGTGCTACTCATGTAATAATTCTGTATCTGTATCGACCACATAGCTAGAGCTCTGTATAATGGTTGACTTTCCATAAGCTCAGATGGTACTTTCGGCCAGACGAGCGGTGCCAGTGGCAGATGACGGCACAAATTTGGTTAAATCTTTAATCCTTTTGTGACTTCCCAGAAGCCACTGGAGCTCAGATAAATGCAACCTTCAGAGTACAAGAACACAATGTGATTGTAAGGGCAACCCCGGAGGCCTGAGATCAAGGTCCTAGCAGGGGAGGATCCAAAGAGTGAATAGAAGTAAGCAAATACAAGTGAGGCTGACCTAGCAGGGGAGGATCCAAAGAGAAGAAACTCTAAGGGTCCGCCTGCTAGGTAGCGGAACTATATACTGCGCTCTTGACGCGCCAAGGTTGATCGTTGCTCCGTGCAGTATGCCTGCGCCATGTCGCAGGCCAGGTCCCAGGGGGATCGCCAGGCGGGGGGCGGCGATGCGCCTGACGGAGGCGGTGATGCGATCGCCGGAGTCGGAACCGGAATCGGACCGGAATCGGAGTCGTCTCCGAGGGGCCGAAAGGGAGGTTCCCCTGACAGTGATGCCTCTGCCCAGTTTCCGGCGCGTCGACCCTTGTCCACCATAGCACGACATAGCCAAAAAATGTCAAGCCACTGGATATACAGAAATGATCCGAACTTTCGCGAACCGGACCGACAGATGGCCGGCCCCAAACGAGGGGCCGCCAAGGGAATGTGGCGGACTATGCAGCTTTGAACAAGCTCAGAAAGTCTGGAGGGGGGGTAGGGCAGATACTGACCCATTTCGATCAATTCAGCGGGCCTGTGACCCGTGACCGTTTGGCCGAAATGTCCAATTCGGCCGCAGGCCGAATTTCGCGTGACCTATTACCCGATTAGGAAGTTCGGCGCGCCGCAGGCGCCGAAAATTTGAAAATCTTCCCGATTGGGACAGTTTGGGACCAAAGGATTTAGCTGTGACCTGTGACCCGCCGAAATATTTCGGCCAAAAAATCCGATGTGACCGTGACCCTGGTGCAACAGAAACCAGATTATAAGTGAGGTAACAAGCTGATGGGGTCCCGACAGCTGTCCGGCATCTGCTCGGCTTATCGTTTAGAAAGCTCAAATCTGAAGTCTGGCCTTATGGAAAGTCAGCCAATCTACTTTCATCGATGTATTTGGACTTGATTGCTTTTTCTCATTTAGGATGTAATCCTTCTGTACTTATCTGTATCTACCACACAGCTAGATCTCGGTATAAATATATTTTCATCGATGTATTTGGGCTTGATTGTACCATTCCTTATATATTATATATTCCTTTTCTCATTTCACACAAGGCTCGTTCGTTACAAGTACACAATATACAAACATCATCCTCTACTTACACCTCTGCACACAAATCCTTATCGAATGTTCCCGTCGTACTAGTCCCATGGGTCATGACACCACAGAACGTTGTCGCGCCAGTCGCGTCTGGTGTGGTGATGAGAACGCGGAACTGGTTGAAGGCTTCTGTCGAAATAACCTGATAACAGCCATTAATGTCACCTAAATGAAGCGAAAAAATTGTACTTACTGAAGGCACATTCTTGAATCCGGCCATGCTGACCCCAACAGCGTGCTCCTCTAGGGTCTTTCCAGCGCAGCCTCCGAACACCTTAACACCTTCGCGGTTTGCGAACACATGTGGAAATTTGGCTGCGTTTTTTGTAGTGATGAGGGGGCCTGCTTGGGCGAGACGGATAGCTGTGTTCAGGCTGCCAACAGGGATCTCAGTCAAGCCACCATCCTTGTTCGTGCACTGGACGGAGCGGGAGGGAGCATTGGCGACAGCACCGACAGGTCTCTTGAGAGCCTCGGCACTGGCAGCAGCAGCAGCAGCGGCAGCGGATTTGGATGCGGCCTGCGAAAGTGGAACGACAAGAGGTGAGATAAGATAAGATAACAAAGTGCACGTGATCTGACCTTCGCGGATTTCTCTGCTGCCTTGGATGCCTTAGCCGCGGCTTTGTCAGCTTTGGTCGTTGGTGGGGGTGGGGTGCACGATGGGTCGACGTCAGCGCGGATCGAGAGGACACCAACGTATTCGAGGAAGCGGCGGACGGCGGTCTTCTTGGGCGCGGCGGCGGTCTTGCCCGGGAGTGCGCAAGCGGCGGGTGTCTTGGTCGTGGGGGTCGTCGCTTTGGGAGCCTGGATTATCAAAGATTAGATTCATCGATAACGAATGAGTGAAAGGCCGCACCGTTGCCTTGGATGCTGCTGGTTTCTTAGCTGAAGCCTGATATTATGTCAGCCCATCGAAGAGACGTCGGATGGTAGTAGACGCACTGCGCCAGTAGCGGGCTTCTTGGGGGCTGGGGTCTTGGGCGCAGCTTTCTTTGCTGAGGCGGCAGGCTTCTTGGCAGCAGCCTGAACGGATCTCCGTCAGCATAGCATACAAGCAGTTAGATGAGCACAAACCGATTTGGTGGCCGGCTTCTTCGCAGGTGTTGCCTTCTTTGCGGGCTGTGCGATGCGTTTGTCAGCTACACCAAAGGACGCGGCCGCCTGGAAGCAAAACGTACTGTCTTCTTCGCTGCCGGAGCTTTAGCCGGGGCCTTCGCTGGAGCTTTAGCGGTCTTTGCTGGTGCTTTCGCTGGTGCTTTCGCTGGTGCTTTCGCTGGTGCTTTCGCTGGTGCTTTCGCTGGTGCTTTCGCTGGTGCCTTTTTAGCGGGGGCCTTGGCTGGTGCCTTTGCGGGTGTCTTCTTCGCTGGCGCCTTCGCGGGTGCTTTTGCTGGCGCTTTCGCTGGAGCTTTAGCGGGTGCCTTCTTCGCCGGAGCCTTAGCGGGTGCCTTCTTCGCAGGAGCTTTCGTTGCGGGTTTAGGCTTTGCTGCAGTTTTGGGCTTCGCTGCAGGTTTGGGCTTCGCAGCTGGTTTGGGCTTTGCGGCGGGTTTGGGCTTTGCCACAGGTTTCGGCTTGACGACAGGTTTCGGCTTTGCCTTGACCTCAGCACCAATCAGCACAGGAGAGCTAAAATTTGAACAAGACGCACCTTGGCCTTCGCCGCGCGGGCTTCCAGCGAGACGGAATCCTCCTCTCCGGGTACGGGCACCGGGGCCGCGAACGAGGGGATTGAGAGCAGGAGCGCGAAGAACAGGGAAGTCGAGAAACGCATGCTGGTCGTTACGATGAATGAAGTCGGCGAAGAAGATGTGTGAAACGAAGAGCCGTGGCAGCGAAGAAAAGAGAAATAAAGAAGAAAGAGAAGAAAAAAGGTGGGGTGGACCGGCCGGGCGGAAAGGGAATACGGGAGCGTGAGGGAGTAGAGGTATATATACGCTCGCAGCGACGGGTTACGTCAAGATTGCAAGCGAGCTGATGAAGCCAGATTCAATTCATTGAGATTGCATTGAGATTTCGGGGGGTCGCACAGCCTGCCGCCAAAACAATAGAAGAAGAGGAGCCATGCCAATCGTTCTGGATGGATTGTGTTTCGAGGCGACGGACAGCCACGAATAATCTCTCCTTCTCGAGTTGGCGGTGGTTGCTGCCAGAAGTGCGAGCTGAGCAGCGGGTCGCTTTGGAGTCGTGGTGGAGTCCATGTGACGAGCCGGGTATGTCGACGCGCGACGGAAGACGTTGCCACGGAAGTTGTCGGGACGACGGCGAGCTATTTATGTAGCTAAACCACGGCGCCGGTTTTCAGGTGCCATGCGCCCTGTAATGGCGACTGCCAATGGCGTTGGAGGCCTCGGCGTCGCATAGCCTCGTCTATCACGAGTAAAAGCGTGCGATTTGGGAGAGCTGGATTATAGAGAAGGTAGCCGCCGATAAGTAATCTCGAGGAGAGAGTTCAAGGCCGAGAGGGGCACGGAAGCAAGTAGATCGACAATCACTAGGACGGCGCTGAGATTGTGCTTGATAGATCGGCATCGTTCCAACTTTTGAGCCATTCGCATCATCGTGTGTGGGCGCCGTTACTCGGCTTTTTGGCGTGCAAGGCGCTTCATGAGGGCTGTGCGGAGGGCGGGGTTTGAAGTTTGCCTGCGATTGCCGGACTCTCCAGCCCATGGCCCGGCCCAGTGGCTCTGATCACCAGTGGCTCAAGGCTGTATACGTCTGTATACGTCGTGTTGGTTACCGTCCCTGAGATAAGATGCGAACGGTGATCGGGATTCGGGTGCTTCGGGGTGCCCACCGCCGTGGCACATCAATTTCTTCGTTTGCGAAAAGCCAAGTAAAAAATCGTTTCCGCAGGCTTGCAAGCCAAGGGCGGCGAGAGCGGACAGAGGGGCAGCCGAACTTGAACTTGAATAAGCGGGCCCAATGGGATGCAGCGCGAGGACGAAGCTGACTCTTGGTTGACTCTTGGTGGTTTTCTTCAAGTGCGTCACGGCGCGTGTCACCGATTACCTCACAGCCCAAACGTAACCACCACCACGACGAGAAAGTTGTGGTTGTCTGCAGATTGGATATGGGCTTCTCAATGTTGCGGTGCCGATGCGTCATCTAGCCTCGGACAGAGTTCGCTTATTGTGTTTCCAGCTACCGTGACGCCAACAGCAGCTGATAGAACAGCAGCTTCTTCACTTCAAGTTCTACTCGTAGTAGTCTCGTACTAGTACTCAGTCAAGCTTGTGGCCACATACTTGAAGAGCGAAGCCCGACCTCAGGCTGATTTGGTGTGTATTGTGACTACTGTGAGAACGGTGCGTATGTATCTTTTCCGCTCAGCAAATCAAAATTTGAACAACTTGAACAACTGGCAGTGAACTTGGAGAGGGCCTCCTAGATTAAGTCAAGGACCATGGAGCGCTCACGATGTGGTATCACAACTCCCTTTCATTGGTGTGCTTCAAGTTGGTGCCAGTGTCGAGGAGGACTCCTTCGGAAGAAGGTATACTCTAGTAACCATCCCCATTAGAACCCGAGCTTGCTAAGTATCCAACCAGGAGGCCTGGAAAATTCACGAACGGACCGGGAGGACTAATTAACCCAGGAATTAACCCAGGATACGACAATGAATTGGAGCGACGAGTACATACGACAATGAATTTGACGATCGCAGATTCACAATCGAAACCCAGGCGCTTTTTTCGACCATCCCCGACAGATCCATTTTGCGCTAGCCAACTGGGGCTTTCTCAGCGATTCCGGCCCAACGACGAATTTCGTCGGCCACCGTGACGCATACTTGCCGTCGCTCAAGCCGGTCAACATCCTGTCGTTCTTAGACCCCAGTCTCAGCAACCGAAGTCGACAAACTTTCTCCTTCAAGCTACATAATTTCAAACTTAGTGTGCTTCAGCTGATATGAAGCGTGAACGCGAGGGTACTCGGAGGTGGATTACTTGAACCGAAAGTCCAAACTTGACTCGGAATTTTAGCAATGGCATATCAGGCTCCAAGATTCTCCTCTCCCGCAAACTCTAATTTCGTAGGCATTCCTCTTGTATCCGAAGAAACAAACCGATACGATTGTTCAAGGACAGCAAGTACAAATATTGCTCGGCCCATCAATCTCAGCCGCAGAAACTCGTGCTATAAAGTCACTGGTCCCGCTCTTGACATTCTACGAACAGGTCCATACGATACGAGCCCATCTGCTTTAATTCCCAAAGCGCCTCCATCCGAGCTCCGAGTCCGGAATGCTTCTATCGACGTGTAAGTAAACGCCATACCGTTTTTGCATTGCTGAGAAGAGTTGGGAGACGGATAGGTGAATTGGATGATATCCGGCGTGCATGAATGCGGCTCTGGTTCTTGATGTCATCTTGATTCATTCGGCTTTGCATCCGTAAATGCTGCCGCGAAACGTGGCCGACACTGGCAGTTGTGTCTGAAAACTTCAAATTCCATGTTTTGTAACCAACTTCGCCCTGTTTCCACGCCACTACCAGTAATTCCCGCTCAGGACAATTCACTTCCCAAGAATTCGGCTCCGATTCGATCCCTCTGAGGCGGCCACACTCCTCTGTTGTTTCCGAGAAGTTGAAATGTCCAGTGTCTGAGCCCAGCTCCCCGAGAAATCTTGGTTTTATCTCGCATCTCTCCCTTGAGCAACACCTTCTTCGGAGACCTACTACTTCAGCCCCCCACTTTCTTTCTTCGAATATGGCGCTCACATTGCCGATCGAGATGCTGTCGAAACTAAATATTTCGTTTCGCGTGGCATTGCCTAGCGGAAAGGTTACCCTCGACCTCAGGTCTCTTCAAGGAACAGACGCAAATTTGACTCCGAGGTCTGGGTCGCCACTGAGCCAAAGCGGGATCGAGCTCAGCTTGCAGACGGTCGCCGCTATGGACGGAGTATCGCTTTTACTGTCTGCATCGGGCCTGCGAGAAGAATCAAAATTGGAGAACGGCGCAAGACAATGTGAAGAGACAAACATACACTGTCCATTCGAAACAACACCGTTTGTCGTGGACACGGACTTGCTGTCATGGAACTCCTCCGATGTCTCCTGGCCGGACTCGTCCCTCAAGCTCTTCACCTTGGAGGATAGGTTTCCTGTGTCTTCAGCCGCCGGCGTCTGGGACTGGTTGAGCACTGGCAATGATACTTCTGACGGTACCGGTTTGCTAGCTATATCCCACGGTATTTGGTTTGCTGAAGATTGCTCCTAGTGTTGAATGTGGCTAATAATCCTCGGCATTGGGAGCTATTTGAGGCGAATAACGGGATCGATCTCTGTATGTATTTATTCACTGTTAGCTGAAATCCATGAGCTCACCAGTGTCAAGTGTCTGGCAGTCCCGCTCGCGGTGGTCCTTCCAATGACGGAATACTTAACTTGTTCAGCAACGTTGAACATGCCAGGTATTGCGGGCACCTGCTTTTGCCCGCAAAATTTTGCCTAATTCAAAATGGTAGACGCGTTCTTCGACTCGGCTTCGGGTAAAGCCGCCACCGAAAGCGACACCTCCTTGTCTGAAAGGGCTGCATTGGCTTCAAGTTCGCCAGTTCTCCCACATAGTGACATAAGTCGAAGACACTCCGGAAACGGGGGAAACGGACCACCGGCATGGCGCTTCGCTGTCCAGAACGGAGCTGTACCCGGCTCTTATCTAACCTCTATACGCTCATGCAGCATTCGAAAGTCCACCAGCGTCTAGAAGGGAAGCTCTTTGTGTGCTCCATGGGTTGCGACACGCGTTTTTCAGTGTTCACGAAAACATGATAGAATGCGGCACGAGGTGACACGGTTGTGTGAGTGGAGGTGCTCGATATGCTCGAAATTCTTCTCGAGCAGGGCGACGTTGAGGAAGCACAACTGTAAGGTGGCGCCGACTTTTTGCTAGAATGGTCCAGGGGTGGATGATATAATCATATAAGTAACTTTTATTGGAAGTGTGTCATGGTACTGTACTTATGTAGTAGCTCCAAGAACTTTTTGTTCGATGACAATGAGACACTGGAAATGGGCGAAATGGGTTCTGATTCCAGGTTCAAACTTGGGCTAGTTACTAGTAGTGTGGGCAGACTCGGACCTGCCGCCCCAGCCATCATCACCTCCTACGTATCTGCTCCTGCTCCCTCATTCCCATTACCAGGTCATTCGACCTTTGGCCATGGACGAGCAGTCACCACTCCGACGATATTCAGGCATATGCGGACAGGTGCTCGCGCCAATTCGCGGATGGATAGATGAGCTCCCATAAGTCCCATCGGCATTAAAAGAACGTTTGACGATTTGGACGAATAACAAGCAACATCAAAATTTTTCGTCTTTCAATTTATGACAACATTGTCGCTGACGAACAACCAGGGCAAATGAAGCCAATCACAAGGCATAGGTACAAATGAACGAGATAGTACACATTTTGTTTTTTACTTCTTCTACCAATATCACTTTGTCATTAAGTCTGCGATGCCTTCATTCCCTCGAACTGAGCTGTAAACTCGTCCATGGCATCCAGCGTCTCCAAGAAGTGCCCAAACCCGACACTCTCCTTCCGTGCCAACGCCAACGAGTGCGCTGTCCGTACGGCATTCTTGATCTGCCGCCCGTTGACCTCGCGTTTCGCCAATTGCCCAATCTCCTCTTCGATGACGGGGACACCGGCACGAGCGATGAAGGCGCGCCAGACTTGGGCCCGGGAAGATTCGGTGAGGTCCGAGAAGTGGAGCGCGACGTGGATGCGCGAGAGGAAGGCTTCGTCGAAGGCTTGGACACGGTTGGTGGTGAGAAAGAGGATGCCGCGGTAGTATTCGACATGACGAAGGCTGAAACAATGCTCAGTGATAACGTGGGGCAACAACAGCAGGAACATACAAGACAGCAACCATAGCGTTTCGTTCCAGATCGTGAAGCGAACGACGTTCGAGGAATACATCCGCCTTGAGAATTGAATCAGTTTTTTGAAGTGGCAAGGGGCGAATCCAAGTACCTCATCAATGAGCACGATGGCTTTCCATGCAGTAGCGACATTGAAAACGCGCTCCAAAGCGACATCGAGATCTGCTGCTCGAGTACCCAGATCGCCTCCACCAATGACATAGAGCGGGCGTTGCACATGCTCGCTGGTTGCTTCAGCTGAGAACGTTTTACCTATAGGAATATGTTATTGAAGACTCAGCAAAGAACTTATAACAACATACCAACACCGGGCGGGCCGAAGAGATTGACAACGAGGCCAGCACCTTTACCCTTGACGAAGTCGTCAAAGCCCGTCTCTTGGTGGTGGGCTTCAACGAGAGATTGGAGTAAAACTTTGCGGTCCGTGGGGAGGACGAGGTTGGCGAAAGCATCCTTATTCCACTTGACGGGCTGGACTTTTGTAACATCGAATTCCACTGCCGTCAAGATGAGGTTGTTATTTGAATTAAGAGAAAAAAGAACATACACCAGGTTTTGTCGGAGAGGGAGAATCCATAGACAATTGTGGGTGTCAGGAGTAGCTCTTCATCGGTGAGCTCCTTGGTCTCGGTTGCTGCCTCAGCTTGAGAATGAATTAGAGCACCTACATCATGTCAGTGTTTTAGACAGTTCACGTCTGAATGACATCGTACCATCACCAAATCCTTGCCCCGTTCCTGGGGTTTGCATGATTGGTTGGCCATATACGTCGAACTGCATGACGGGGGCGTTAGGATGCATGCCGTTGACCATCGAATCATCCGCCTTCGGAGGTACGGGAGTGGGAAATGCGTAGTTTGGGTTGTTCTTCTGGAATGTCCCGCGGTCCACCATAATCCTGCCCTTGACCTGGTGTCGCACCACACGGTTTAGCATCTTGACTGCGGCGATGCCGTCGTACTCTTGGTGGTGGATACCAAGCAGGCCAACCCATTTTTGGCCGCGTTGTTTGACCGTTTCGACCAATTGGTTTTGATTAGGATGGAACCGCAACGGGTAGGCATCCAGGGTATCGATGCGGGCGGCACCCTTGAAAAAGGGTATGAATATGCTTGCCTGGACTCGTCCGACACCGACACTCTGCGTCAAAGGCCGATCGACAAGGTCGACCGCCTCGAGCGAAAGAGCATAAACGGGGCAGCCTTCGACCGCAGTTCTGGTGAATGATTCGAGTCGGAAAAGCCGTTCGAGGCCGGTGACAGCGCAACGGGCAACGATGAGAGTGCGGGGGACAAGGATGGCGTAGAGGAGGTCAAATGTGATTTCGTTGTGGGCCGTGAGCCGAGAAATTTGGGCGAGGGTGGAGCGGAAGTCGGTGGCGAGGAAGGAAAGGAGGGTTGTCACAGAGGACATAATGTTTGTTTCCTGCTCCGTGCGGGCCTTGCGAGCTGCGAGCGCGTCACGATATTCGATGAAGCTCTGGTACCATGTAAGGAAAGTCTCTGGCTCCATCTAACTCGAACATTAGCTTTACAGGACGTGAAAGATATGATATATGTACCTCGAGAGGGTCCGCATTCCAGGAAATACCGGGCCAAGTTTGGATTACATCTTGGCAGGCCTTGAGGATGTATTCGCTCTTGATCACGACTTTGAAGGTGGGCTGCCGGTTCTCTTGTTGATGAATGGTGCGGACAAGGCTGTAGTGACCCAATGATGAACAGGTTCTATAAAGAAATGAGAGACTCACACGAAGCTGTATTCCTTCCATGGATCGTTGTTCCCTCCACCAAGAATAGGCAATGTCTCCACAGTGACCTTGGAGTTCATATTCTTTCCCAATACATCAGCCGCCATTTAGCGCTGAGGAGACGAGAACAGACCTTGTACTTCCATTGCTTTCCCCAACGCGAATAGTAGTAGTCCACACGTTTGACCTTGCTCGACGCCGGAGGCAAAGGGTCGTCCCTGACAATCGTCGAGATTTTGGACTCCGCGTCATCGTCAGCGAAGTCTACCGTTGCGGAGGAGCTTGAAGCGCGAGCCGGCTTCACGAGAGAGGAGAAACGGCGGTGCATAAGTGAGGGAAGGGAGTAAAGATCGCACAGATACAGGCGCTCTTTTAAGCTCCCTGTTATCTCGGCGCTAGTCATTCATTTGTATTTCGGAAGCGTCGTGTCGTGATTTGAGGCTGTGGAATGACTTGGTGGCAGGAATAAGGCATGACATTGAGGAGCACACAGTCACCAACTGTCGGGCTGTGCGTGGCAAGGGGTGTCGTGGCTGCACGAACTTTGCACCTTCGTCGTTCTGTCATGTTGGAGGATGAGGAGGTAAGGGAAGACGGTTTTTTTTGGGACTCCGGTTTGGAGAAGGGAAAAACGTGGCTGTGACCTGCGTGAGTGTGACATCTCACAGATACTTCCTGGCTGGCAAATAGTCAATGTTCAACAGCATTTTGACAGCTACGACTATGATGAACTTTCAGGGTGTTTTATACTATTGGCAAGAAGTCATAACTCAGAGAAACCCAAACCCGCTACTCTCAATAACAGACTAAGTTAGTGCTGGGCAAATAAGTATGATTGTATTATTCTGAGGACATAATATATTATGAGGAGGGATAAGGCCGCAAGCGGCAGGTGCCGAACCTTACATAATAAGCCAAGGAAGACCATGGCCCGCACCACATGATATGACGTGGCTCGTCCCAAAAGGGTCATAGAAATGCACAGCCATTCCCGATATGGGGGGGCTGGTTTCAACATGATTCTATAGAGCCAAACCTTAGGTTCGGCAATAATCATATCATATTCAGAGCTCCAACATGATAATATATTGGTAGTATAGTCTAATCATATTCAATTGCAAAATATGAATATGTTATTAATATATTTGATCAACTTGAAGTATAGTTATACCTCCCTGGATATATTTGCTGCAGAAAAGATTAAAACCATAAGATACATACTAGACTGTCAGGGTAACTTCCTGTCAGGCCTATGCAACTTTTATACCAATTCTAATTAAAATTTAAAAAACAATTAGGCCAACCTTCTTTTGACCTGTGACACACAGGAATAGCTTAGTAAAACATTTATTATAACCATAACAAACATACTAGATCATTTTCTTCAATTTAGCGCTGTGACCTGTGACCATTTGACTAGGCTGATTTAGGAATTTTCCTCCCAAAAAGGTAATAGAAACAAATGCCCAGTTACATTAGCAGATAAATATGACATTTATCTATAAGTTTTACCCTGGGTCTTTATGCTGGATTTTCCTTATGTCAGAAACCACTATTTATACATTAGGTTTATCATACAAAAAAATCCCCAGATAAATTTGTAATTTATTCTTTAACTTTCCCATGGGGGAAATTCTCAAAGTGGCCTCGTGAAATTTGGCTAAAATTTAGCTAGTGGTGGCTAAATTTTATGTGACAAGTTGCCTAATTAGGGAGTTTAGCACACCACAATTTTTTTTTGACATCTATATAAATTAGGATAGTCCAAGGCCTGATAAACCTGCAGTGACCTGCTAAAATATTCCAGCCAAAACATTGATATGACCATGACTAGCAGAATCAAATCAAATAGTCCAGTATTACTCTTATCTTATATTAAGGATATGCTATGTGAATATATGCACATGCTTGGCACTGGCCTCAGCAATTCATTTGCTCCACATTTCTATTTTTGGGGTTAATGCTGCTAAATCCCTAAATTGGTAACAAAAGCTGTAAAAATGGCATCAATCCTAATTGGGATACAAAGCTGTACATGATATCTTGCATCCAGTACCACAAAAACATTATATCTAGGGCTATTGACCATGCTGACACCTAAGTGTGTACCAAGTACTCTTAATTTTCTCCCAAATTAATAAGTAAATTGGGTTGCAATCTATGTAGGTAATAGTAGACCAGATAATTCAGAGGGTTATTGTGCAAATGTGTGCTATTCTGTAATTAGTGGAATTTTTTTTTTAAAAAAAAGTCACTTATTCAAGTAAGATTCAAAGCTGGGGCATAGCCCCAGCCCTGTCTAGTCTTCTATATGAAAACAGCTTGAAATTGCATAACAACACAAAGTCATATGCCTTTGTGGTTAGTATACTTGTTGCAGTATATAGATGTAGATACAAAAAAAAACTTAGGAACTGATTTTCAGTCTTTTTAAGCACAGAAAAAGTGTCAGGAGAACCCCTGCTTTGGCCTCCTTTGGACTGCCTGAGCACATCTGAGGTGCATCCGACCGGCGCCCCCTCTATCAGATGCTACGACCCATCCTGACCCTCGTCCTCGGCCTCCTTCGCCCGCACAATCACCAATCTGTCAAGACCCTTCTAACGATCACCTTGATCAGACAGAGCCTGCGACGTCGTCACGCCACTCAGGCCTTCTGCGCTTTATGTTGGCAGCTACAGACAACTAGTATACAGTAGCTAACTGGGCAGCGAAACAAAGAACGTAATTGGTGAATTGTGTGGCCACTGTCTCTTCATTTTTTCTGAAACTTGGCACATCGATAGCCAAGCATCTCAGCTACCTATGTACCAGATCTCAAATTATTTGGACAGGCTCACGCCGAGAACGAGCGACATCACTCCATCACACCCAAAATGGGTTTTCCCGAGGCAGCGAAACAACATTGCATGCACGTTCCTGAAAAAATCATAGCAAATGGCGGCCTGAAGTGCTCATATATCATATCTGCGACCTCAAAAACCCCAGTATACATTTCTGCCTGTTGCTCTGCTCATTCTGGGCCTATCCTCGATAACCCAGCTGATGTGTGACATAACATTGTGACAAAAAGATTCATGTCTAGCACTTGCTGTGGCTGTTGGATGAACATGTAACTTGGGGTACCTAGGTTTTTTTTCCTGCAGAATTGACTCACAAAGTAATAATATGTGGCATTGAATCTAGCACGAGAAATTTGGTGTGTTTCGCTGCCTTGGGGTGTTTCGCTGCCCAGTTAGCTACTGTATAGTTGGCACCCTAGCAGGCAGACACTTAGAGTTTCTTCTCTTTGGATCCTCCCCTGCTAGGCTTTCGTTAGAGTCTCCAGGGTTGCCCTTACAAAAAGTTTAAATGGACCAATACTTTCTATAGGAATGATACAGTTTGACCATAGATTACACCTGTGTAGCCCAATACCCACTGTGTACTATCTAGTCCACCCCAGTGGGGTGTCGCAGATAAGCCATGCTGCTCTCAGCATTGCCATAGAACTGAATAAACCTTGGAAAGGGAACTGAATAAATCTGAGCAGTTCTTAGGTTTTCACCATTTTTCGCACCAAGTCCACATGACTGGCTATTATCACCTCACTCATAGTATGAATAATGTTCAATAGTGATTATATACCCAAGTATAGAAGTCAGTTCTGTGTAATCATGGACTACTCAAAAAGGAAATTGTATACCAGGTCCTAATAGTAAGTGAAATTCAGACACCTGTGCAGCCCAGATCAGCTCCATATATACTGTTAAGTTACAAGGATGACACAGTTCCCAAAAAGGAAATTTTCACAGTCTAACAGTGGAATCATAAGAGAGTGTCACACTTTGTCACAAAATCAAAGTTGCGTATTGTAACTATATAAACACCTTTCATTAAGTAACCTATAGTGGTGGCTTAATAAATGTGTTAGCACTGACCCATCACAAGCTCGTATTTAACTGATGGGCTCCTATCTCAATAGCTGCTCGACCTAAATACATGAATCAAGTGCTAGCAGGAAGGGTATCAAAGGCAAGTATTGATTATAAAGTATTTTGATCATCATCATATGATATGATTACTATATTGATCATTCGGTAATAAAAAAGAGAATATCTAGTACTTTAACAATGTAAGGTGACGGACTTGTAAGTTTAGCTACTCTAACAAAACCCCCTGGTGTATACCCTCCTCACTCCCAGTGACTATGGCACTGATAATACAATACATTCACTCATCAGTAGAATTTGATCTCCATCACCTCTGAAAGATGGGCACAGATCTCCAGCTAGCCTTGGTGGATACAGTTGAAATAGAGTTCATTTGAAAGGTATACTATCCTACTATCCTTGAGCCACATCAGTTATATTTTTTGTCACTATTGCCCTGATCTATTTACTGCCAAGCATGCCTGAATACTAAATTGAGCAGTATTTTGGTGATATCCTAGGACTACATGCATGGAATCTCATGATCTAAGTTGATATGATATCATAGGATAGCCTAGCACACCCTTATTCATTTTCCACCATGGGGCAAATGCTGGGGCCAGTCAATTAATAGAGACCTTAGGTGCTATATAACCCAGGATAGAGATATGCTAGAGGGGTACAGGCACCAGTTTCTAGAGGGTGGACCATACTCCTACTAGTGAATAGACTCAGATTTCCCAGACTTGCAAAGGTCATGCTATGATGAACTCATCATTATTGGGATAGATAACACTGATAATGGTACTGTGAGAGATCCAGAATAGCTATGAGGCTGATTCAAGTGCTGGACAGGTTCATTTGAAGGTCTATACCATCTTATATCCAAGTCTTGCATCATACTTGAAATTAATTTCTGACCAGTTGTACTGTAGCATTTTATTCAGTTCGTATGTCACGTGTCACAGTAGCTATAAAATTCGAAATTTTTTCGTATGTCACACCATTTTGCTCAAAATCCTCTCCCAAAAAGGCAATTTATGACATTTCCGGGCGCCTCCGGCGCCAAGAGTTTCCTAATTAGGAAATAATTCGAATTGATATTTTCGTATTGAATGTCACACCACTTTTGGCATTCGAATTGAGTGATAACTGCCATGCAATCTCTATAGGAATCAGGGCGGCCGGCTTTCAACAATCAGTTGCCAATATTGTATATATGATGGATAAATTATACCATTATGATAAATTGGACCCTGCAATAGGGGATGATCACTGAAACCAAATAGCTGGGCTATATGAACATCTCTACATAGTTGCTGAGCATCTCAAGCGATGATTCATCTTTTGCTTACCTGACGGTCTGATCGGCAGCAATCTTTTGACTCCACTAAGAATATAATAATATTAAATATTAATGCAGAAATTGACAATTCACATACATCAAAAGGAGCATCTGAATCATATGCCAGCAATGTGAACACTTGGGAGC